TTAGTAACCAATTTTGTAATGTGGGCCAAAATTTCGAAGATCCTCGGCCGTTAGCCAATCAAAATCGAGGATCTGCCAGTCCAAATTTGTTGCGGCAGCTATGGTTAATGCGACAATTATAAAAAATAAATACTGGTATAAAGTTTTTTTATATTCTTATTTTTTTAAAAAATGTAAGCAAAGATTTATATACTATCACAAGATAATAAATATTTACAGCTATTTTATATATATCAATATTTTTTTATTTTTATATATTACTAATGCGTACTAATTCTAGCCCTAAATCTATTCCAAAAATACACTAATTCTAGCCCAATCTCAAATACTTATTTATTATTACATACCTTCAAAGTATTTCATTCGCATTAATTGATGTGAGAAACTAAAGTTTGTTTAATATTACATAGGTCGAATGAAGGCTAATAGTCTCCAACCGGCATAACGTAATCCCGATTTGAAATAGATATTTGGATACTAATCAGGTTCATATAAGCGTTCAATACATATCAGGATGCCGATAGCTCTATAGGTAAGTCAATAAAGTTATTAGGCAAACTTTATTAATTTACCTATAGAGTTATCGGCATTCCGATATGTATTGAACGCCTATATAAACCAGATTAATATCCTAAAGGTCTCCTATTTCCACTAAATATCTGTTTCAAATAAGGATTATGCTATGCCCGTTGGAGCCCGATTTGCCTTCATTCGACTTGTGTTTATTTGCATTAATAATCTAATTGTAAGATAAAAAACATTTAATAAAAACAGAAAACCAAATTACATATCAATAGTATTAACAGTTATTTACCATTAGCATTATTTACAAATCGGTTTATTCGAGCTAATTATCTACAAGATCACTATTAAACGGAACTCCATCAAATGCTCTTTGCCCAGTATTATTTCTGAAATAGAGATACGAAAAAAAGTTGAATTTTGGCATAGAGCTGGAAGAAGTCATTCGAATGGTTGTAATTCAAAAGATTGCATAATATCAAAAAAAAAAACTACTCTAAGTTGAAATTTTTTAATACAATCATCGATATCTTATTTTCACATGCCCATTCTTGCGTTATCAGCTTTTTGATCTATTTCGTTTAACCAACGGGTGATTATTTCAATGATTTTTGTTGCAGTAGGTCTTTATCCATAGATTTCATAGCTAATTTAATATAAAAATTAGGACCTAAACGTTTAGGTCTAGGTTTGCCGATTATTCTTAATACAAGATCACCATTAACCGGAACTCTATCAAATGTTCTTTGCCCGGTATAAATTTCTGAAATAGAGATACGAAAAAAGTTAAATTTTAGCATGAGCTGGAAAAAGTTATTCGAATGGTTGTAATTCAAAAGATTGCATAATATCAAGAAAAAAATCTACTCTAAGTTGAAATTTTGCAATACAATCATCGATACCTTACTTCCGCATGCCCATTCTTGCGTTATCAGCTTTTTGATCCATTTAGTTTAACCAACGGGTGATTATTTCAATGATTTTTGTTGCAGTAGGTCTTTATCCATAGATTTCATAGCTAATTTAATATAAAAATTAGGACCTAAACGTTTGGATCTAGGTTTGCCGATTATTCTTAATACAATATCACCATTAACCGAAACTCCATCAAATGCTCTTTGCCCGGTATAAATTTCTGAAATAGAGATACGAAAAAGTTAAATTTTAGTATGAGCTGGAAGAAGTCATTCGAATGGTTGTAATTCAAAAGATTGCATAATATCAAAAAAAATCCAAGTTAAAATTTTTTAATACAATCATCGATACCTTACTTTCACATGCTCATTCTTGCGTCATCAGCTTTTTGGGTGATTATTTCAATAATTTTTGTTGCGGTAGGTCGTTTATCAAAGTCTTTACCCTCAGGACCTAGGTCTACCGATTATTCTTGATACAAGATCACCACCAAACGGAATTCCATCAAATACTCTTTGTCCGGTAGACCTACTTCCTCAATATTTTAGAACTTATCCAAGATAATTTAAATCTTTCATTGTCTAATATTCTCTTAAGTTTAGGATTGATATGATTAGGTGATTATGATTGTGATTTACTATAAAAAGTCTTGTTACTGAACTTAACGGTAATGTTATGTTAGTTGTATTAGAAATAGCAAAGAAAAAACTAAAATTCAATAAAAACTTAACGGCTATTGGGGACAAACGGTATGTGGTTAAGTTAATTTGTATAGAAAATATGCCTGATTCCGAAGTGTAAAAAATCCTGTAATTAACTAAAGGTTGTGTTAGTTTGTTGGGAAAATATAAAAAAAAATGTAAGTTACCGCAAAAAAAATCAATTAAAAAGTTTACCGGATATTGGAGAATACACAGTATATATTGTATTGGAATTATGGTGATTTCAATTGTGATTTACTGTAAAAATTCAGTAAACTGTAATACACTCGATTAAAGAACTTACCGGCTATTGGAGAACACATAGTATGCTCCAAGTTAGATTGCATTATTGTGATTTCAATCGTAGATTTGCTGTTAAAATCCTGTTACAGAGTTAGCTTTGTTAGTTTGTATGGAATATCAAAGAAAAGAGAAAGTATAACTTTTACTGAAAAAGAACTTACCGAACTTACCGGAGCACAAACGCGTAAAATCTGTGTTGTTGCACTAAAGTTACGCGTGTCTCAGACGGAAAATGCCACAATTTTGATATAAAATATCAAAAACGTAGTTTTGGTTATCACTTAACGTAGAAGTATGATCGCTCCGGGCAAAAAAATTTAGTTACCGAGAAATCATTACTAGCGCTAGGTTGATTGGTTGTTTCCTTATTTGGCTTGTATCACTCTCACACGTATAATTATAAAAAAGGCAGGTACGTACGCGTCAAGTTTATCAATCTTAAAATAAAAATATGGAGGAAGAAACGATAGAGTTTATTGATTACAATAGATGGCTGAAAAGGATCGAGACGGACGTGGTAAGTTCAATTCTTGAGCTTGCTTAATGCTTTTTGTTGAATGCACGGAAGGTGTAAGTTACGCTGCGGTTGAGTGAGCCCATTTAGGTGATAAACCTTGTGGGAATCGCCCGTGTAGACCTCTTCGTACTTGCTCTCGGCTAGTGTTGAGGGAGTGGGTGAGCATGATGAAGACACGGGGTATTAACTCTGTTTTTTTCGCAGAATAAACCTAGTTCTGAAATACGTAACGAGAATATGGAGGATGAAACGATAGAGTTTATTGATTACAACAGATGGCTGAAAAGGATCGAGACGGACGTGGTAAGTTCAATTCTTGAGCTTGCTTAATGCTTTTTGTTGAATGCACGGAAGGTGTAAGTTACGCTGCGGTTGAGTGAGCCCATTTAGGTGATAAACCTTGTGGGAATCGCCCGTGTAGACCTCTTCGTACTTGCTCTCGGCTAGTGTTGAGGGAGTGGGTGAGCATGATGAAGACACGGGGTATTAACTCTCGTTTTTTTCGCAGAATAAACCTAGTTCTGAAATATGTAACGAGTTCAAAGAAATCGCGGCAAGGTGGTTTGAGATCGACGATGACTACGATTTATTAATCGATTTAATAAGGGATGACGAAGAAAAGAAGTATCTGTTCGTTTTTAAGGATTCAATTAGTGTCATCATTATGTGTCTTTTCTGCATTAAAATAAACATGATCGGATTCGAAGAAGAGGACAAAGCAACTAAGCGATTGCGAGTATCCGATGTTACCAGTTTCGGCAAAACCTGCAAGAAGTTGAAATCTAACGGAGTCATTTTAACGAATCAATTTTGTAAAAATCCTACGAAAAAGAAAGCTAAGGAACTTAAAATTTTGTTAGCGGATCCTCAACGCGCCAAAGTGAAGATTGACGATTTTGTAGAAGATCTAAAGACGCGTGTGGAAGGTAACGAATCTAAGAGCGAGACATCAGGAGAGGAAGCAAACGATCATGTTTAAAATATTGTCATAAGGTTGATCTAGTTTATTTGTAATGAATTCCATAGTTGATACATCTAAGAATATATTTTATTAAGAATTCAAAAATAAAGAAGTTTAAATAAAAAATGTAGAACTTCGATCCTGATTTTAAATAGCCATCTGAATTAATATTGTTAGTCGAAATACCCTATTTCGTTTCTTGCCAATATTTAGCCTTTCCATAAGCTTTTCCATAAGTTTTAGCTCAATCTAAACACACCAAACATTCAACCGAAAATTTAATAACATTGAACGTGTCAACATTTATAATGATAAAATTATCTGTAGATCAAGTATTATATGTGACATATATCTTTCATATATCTGATATAGGGTGAAAATTAATATAAGTTTGCGCAAATTTGTGTAAGTTTCTGAATTCAAAATTATATGTGAATAGCACTTTCATAGAGCCGGCACATAAAGTTTAGTAATAGTGGCAAAACGTTTATGCCATTGCACTAATTTTTATCAGGTGTTTTATATTGTAAAATTATATAGATAACATCTAACCCATCTTGACATTATCTATAGTAAATGATGCATTCCATAGTCAAAATACTCTAATTTTATAAATTCTTCGCAATGTTTGGGTTTAGATCAAATTCTGACAATAATGATAAGAATTCCACCAGGGTAAAAATCCCAATAAAGTTTTTTTTTATTTTTGTATTTTTTTTAAAAAGAGGTCTTTTCCTTATTCCCTTATTTTATATAAAATATAATTTACAATTTCTTGTAAATGATACATTAACTTTCTATGGAAGGGAAAATAAAGCTATAGCTATTGCTAATTTACTTTAGACCTAAATTTTAGCTAGATAGGTCTTAACCTCTAGTCTATGTTATATATTTGTTCTGGCGCATGATTGTATTCAATATAGTTAGTTAACCATTTGGTGTAGTTTAATTGTTCACCTAACTCACATATTTGGCTACTTGCTTTAGGTGTTGAATTGCTCAGACTTGGGTTTGTTTATAATTGAGCAGTGGAACTTTGAGTATCATTATTGTTTGTGTGTATCATTGTTTGTACATAAATTTCTTTTACAATTAGATGATAGAAATATGCAGTGTTATTGACTGTGGATGTATTCTGGTTTAATAGAAACAGGTTTTTTGTAGTTATAATCCCAATGGGGATGCTATCTTGTATATAGTCTTGTATAGTGTTCTGAAAATCCGAATCCATCGAATTCGGATTATCATCTGATCTGAACCGTCAGATCAGATCGGGTCTAATAAAACCGGATTGATCCCGGATTGAGTAATAAATACAAAAATAAATTTGTATAACACTAACATAACTCTTTTAACTTACATGCTATAAACTCATAGTAGAACTTCAACTGACCAGTTATTTATATTTTCTCGGCTAAACCCTCTTGGTGTTTTGTCATTTTTTACTTATTTAACTGGATCACTGGTATGTTGATTTAGATTTGACTTTGCTCATTCTAATCAAGTTTGCTATATTATATATATTATACTAATCACTGCCGGGTTACTTGAACTTTTTGATATTTTTTTTTTCATGGTTGATTTATTTGTTCAACCTGATCACTGGTATGTTGATTAGGTTCGACTTTGCTCATTCTAATCAAGTTTGCTTAATTATGTATATTATACTAATTACAACCAGATTACTTGAACTTTTTGAACTTTTTTTTTTTATGGTCGATTTACTTGTTCAACCGGGTCTCTGGTAATTTGATTTAGGTTCGACTTTGCTCATTCTAATTGTGTTTGCTAAATTATGTATATTATACTAATTACAATCTAGTTACATGAACTTTTTGATCTTTTTTTTTCATGGTCGATTTACTTGTTCAACTGGGTCTCTTGGTATGTTGATTTAGGTTTGACTTTACCTATTCTAATCAAGTTTGCTAAATTATGTATATTATACTAATTACTGCCGAGTTACTTGAACTTTTTGATCTTTTTTTTTTCATAGTCGATTTACTTGTTCAACTGGATCATTGGTATGTTGATTTAGGTTCAACTTTACCCATTCTAATTGAGTTTGCTAAATTATGTATATTATACTAATTACAACTGAGTTACTTAAACTTTTTGATATTTTTTTTTCATGGTCGATTTATTTGTTCAATCGGGTCTCTGGTATGTTGATTTAGGTTCGACTTTGCCAATTCTAATCATGTTTGCTAAATTATGTGTATTATACTAATCACTACTGGGTTACTTAAACTTTTTAAATTTTTTTTTCATAGTCGATTTACTTGTTCAACCAGATCACTGGTATGTTAATTTAGGTTCAACTTTGCTATTTTAATCAAGTTTGCTAAATTATGTGTATTATACTAATCACTGCTGAGTTATATAAACTTTTTGATCTTTTTTTTTTATGGCCAATTTACTTGTTCAACTGGGTCTCTGGTATGTTGATTAGGTTCGACTTTGCTCATTCTAATCGTGTTTGCTAAATTATATGTATTATACTAATTACAATTTAGTTATATGAACTTTTTGATCTTTTTTTTTCATGGTCAATTTACTTGTTCAACCAGGTCTCTTGGTATGTTGATTTAGGTTTGACTTTACCCATTCTAATCGTGTTTGCTAAATTATGTGTATTATACTAATCACTGCTGGGTTACTTGAACTTTTTGAACTTTTTTTTCATGGTTGATTTACTTGTTCAACCAGATCACTAGTATGTTGATTTAGGTTCAACTTTGCTCATTCTAATCGTGTTGCTAAATTATATGTATTATACTAATTACAATCAGGTTGCTTAAACTTTTTAATCTTTTTTTTCATGGTCGATTTACTTGTTCAACCAGATCACTGGTATGTTGATTTAGGTTCGATTTTGCTCATTCTAATCATGTTTGCTAAATTATGTGTATTATACTAATCACTGCCGGGTTACTTGAACTTTTTAAACTTTTTTTTTCATAGTCGATTTACTTGTTCAACTGAATCACTAGTATTATTTCAGCTAGGTTAATTTGTTATACTGAATTAGGTTTATTCAATCAGTCACTTTGGTATGTTAAATTAGATTAAATTTGATCAGCCAGGCTGTTTTGGTAGATTCAACCTGCTTATTCTTAGTGTTGGGATATAATCAGTCCCACATGTTACTTAACATCAAAGTTGCACAGAGGTGAATAATTAATATAATCAACTTAATAAGGGATAAGGCTGTATAATTGTGATAGATTTGTATTGTCTATTTTAATAGACTAATAATGTAATCATGCAAGAATATAAATAAATAATGAGGCTCAATCTGTAAGATTGAATTTCTACTTCAATTTTCTTGTATAAAACAAGTTTTTAATAAATATCATTATACTATCTTGAAACATTTGTGTATAGTGAAAGAGTAGTTAAACGAAGTGTAAGTAATGCAGTGAATAATTCAAACAGGTGTGTAATGCTAACAAACGAACAAATCTACTTATTCAAGGTGGGCACTTGGTATGAACTTGCCATGTTGAATTGAGTTTGCTTATTTCATCTGGGTTCTTTTAGTATGTTAAATTAGATTTAACTTGTTTGTTCTAGCCGGATCACTTAGCCATATGAAGTTAAGTTTAATCCATCTTACTTATTCTAGCAGGATCATCTTGGTATACTTATTTCATTAGGTCACTTGGTATGTTTAAATTAGGCTTGACTTGCTTATTCTAGCCAGGTTATATTGGTATTTTGAATTTGGCTCAATATATCATTTTACTGATCAGTTTGGTATATTGAATTATACTCAATTTGACTATACTCAATTTGACTATATACTCAATTTGACTATATACTCAATTTGACTATATACTCAATTTGACTATTCCAGCCAGGTTATTTTGATACGTTTGATAAAGTTCAACTTGCTTTTTTCAACTGAGCCATTTTGTTATATCAAATTATTAGACTCAACATACTTATTTTAGTACTTCCCTTAATTATTCTATCTGGTTTATTTGGTATGTTGAATAAGGTTCAACTTGTTTTTCAGACTAAGTCACTGTTATATTGATTATGTTTAATATATTCATTAGATTATTATACATATTCTAGCCAAATCATTTTGGTATGTCAAGTTACATTCTACTTGATTATTTTAGCCAGCTCATTTACTTATTTTGGTATATTAATTAGATTCTGTTCAATTTTTCCAGCTGGGTTATTTTGGTATGTTGAATTAGGTTCAATTTGATTATTCTAATTCGATATACCAAAATAACCTGGATGAGTTTAATGTGATTATTCTAGCTAGATCACTTGGTATAATAATTTAGGTTCAACTTTGCTCATTCTAATTATGTTTGCTAAATTATGTGTAACTACCAGATTACTTGAACTTTTTGATCTTTTTTTTTTTATAGTCAATTTACTTGTTCAACCTGATTACTGGTATGTTGATTAGATTTGACTTTGCTTATTCTAATCGTGTTTGCTAAATTATATGTAACTACCGGGTTACTTGAACTTTTTAATCTTTTTTTTTTCATAGTCGATCATGAGTGAGGCGATATTGGTTTTAGTAATTTGGCTATAGAAAGGCTTGAATGGGGCTGGTGTGCTATTAG